CGTGTCTATTACCGCAATTCTGAGCCTCCCGAATTCTGCTCGCGATACGAACGTTCCACGGGAAATCATAATTATTAAGGACATCTAATAAATAAATTTTTTTTTACCGTCGAAAAATTTCACACCTTCTCGAATTTTTTTCTCAACGGTGGGTAGGATTTCGAGGGTATGTGTATTCACCAAAAATGATTCTAATTAACCTCTGCGACTAAACATAATTTTTTTAGAACGATTTGAAAATTTTGAAAAATTTCTCCACCTATTTGAATTTTTTTCTCGAAACTGAGTAGGATTTCGGGGGTATGTGTATTCACCAAAAATGATTGCAATTAACCCTAGCAGCTGAAACTATTTTTTTTAGAACGATTTGAAATTTTTGAATTTGAGTCCCATAGTTTGTTTATAAAAAAATACCAAACGCATTTTGCAGCAGAAAACATCCTAAAATAAATATTAATAACAGTCGAATTGTGTAGAGAAAGCAACCAAAAATAAAATGCACCGAAATCTGCGTAAAATAATTTTCGTTTTTTGCGTTTAAAAATTTCCAAAACGTCGAATAACAATTCTACGGTCGCGTTCGTTGAAATTTCGACACAGCTACATCGTAGACCATAGTTTGGAAATGGCTAGGCGAGCAGGAGAACGATCGATGGAAATGTTCGAGGACGGAAACTTGCGGGACAGCGATAATTACGCATTTTGCGACGATTAATATTACTTTGCGCCCGAATCGCGTGTAACGCGTAAATATTCGCGTACGTCAAATTAATACGGAGAATGTACCGTTACGGATCAACCAAATATTCCGTTGGCCGGGAATTATATTTGTTGTCAAAGCGCAACGATTTTCGAGCAAGTTCGACGAATGAAAACGCCGTTGCTAAATCAACGGGCTTTTCGATTCGGTAATGTGTTGTGACTCCGTTTTGGAAAATGAAACGATATTGACGTCGAACGGATAGCTAAAAATTATTCAGTGTTTTTACAGAAATTGGTCAGAAATTGGTCAGAAATATTGCTAGAGTTCTGTTGGATTGACATGGAAATTTCGATTTTCTAGTGGAAAATCATTTTTTTTAAAAAGGGAAGAATAAAGTTTCATTTAGTATGAATTTTTAATTTGGTAGCTTGTGGTTTGTTTGTATGGAGTGAGTGTCATTTGAAATGGATTGTTTTAAGTGAATACATGGAAAATGATTCACTGTGATTCACTGTTTGAGAATGTTTGTATATGATTGCTTGTATGAGACTGTTCCTCTATGATAGATTGTATGATAGTGTACCTCTAGGATTCACTGTTTGAGACTGTTCCTATATGATAGATTGTATGATAATGTTCCTCTATGATTCACTATATGAGAATATTTCTCTATGATTGATTGTATGAGACTGTTCCCCTATGATAGATTGTATGATAGTGTACCTCTAGGATTCACTGTTTGAGACTGTTCCTATATGATAGATTGTATGATAATGTTCCTCTATGACTCACTATATGAGAATATTTCTCTATGAATGATTGTATGAGGCAGTTCCCCTATGATAGATTGTATGATAATATTTCTCTATGATTCATTGTTTAAGAATGTTTCACTGTGTTTGAGACTTCCTTTATGATAGATTGTATGATATTATTTCTCTATGATTCACTGTTTGAGAATGTTTCACCGTGAGTGACTTATTTGAGAATGTATGTGGTTGACAGATTCAGAATGTTCCTGTATGATTGATTGTATGATAGTGTTTCTCTATGATTTACTGTCTGAGACTCCTTCCTCTATGATTGATTGTATGATAATGTTTCTTTGTGAGTGACTGTAAGAGACGGTTCTCCTATGATAGACTGTATGATAATATTTCTCTATGATTCTCTGTTTGAGACTCCATCCTCTATGATAGATTGTATGATAATACTTTTCTATAATACACTGTTTGAGAACGTTTCACTATGAGTGACTTATTTGACAATGTTTCCCTATGATTCACTGTTTCAGACTCCTTCCTCTATGATTGATTGTATGAGACTGTTCCTCTATGATTGATTGTATGATAATGTTTCGCTATGATTCACTGTATGAGACTGTTCCTCTATGAATGATTGTATGATAATGTTCCTCTATGATTCACTATATGAGAAAATTTCTCTATGATTAATTGTATGAGACAGTTCCCCTATGATAGATTGTATGATAATATTTTTCTATGATTCATTGTTTGAGAATGTTTCATTGTGAGTGATTTGTTTGAGAATGTTACTCTAGGATTCACTGTTTGAGACTTCTTCCTTTATGATAGATTGTATGATATTATTTCTCTATGATTCACTGTTTGGGAATGTTTCACCGTGAGTGACTTATTTGAGAATGTATGTGATTGACAGATTCAGAATGTTCCTGTATGATTGATTGTATGATAGTGTTTCTCTATGATTTACTGTCTGAGACTCCTTCCTCTATGATTGATTGTATGATAGCGTTTCCCTATGATTCACTGGTTGAGAATCCTTTCTTTATGATAGATTGTATGATAATGTTTCTCTATGTTTCAGTGTTTGAGAATGTTTCACTGTGAGTGACTTATTTGAGATTGTTTCTCTATGATTCACTGTTTGAGACTCCTTCCTCTATGATTGATTGTATGATAATGTTTCTTTATGATTCACTGTTTGAGAATGTTTCTCTATGATTGATTGTATGTGACTGCTTGTCTATGATGGATTGTATGATACTGTTCCTGTATAATTGATTGTATGATAGTGTTTCTCTAGGATTCATTGTTTGAGACTGTTCCTCTATGATTGATTGTATGATACTGTTTCTGTATGATACTTTGTTTGACAATGTTTCTTTATGATTGACGGTTTGGGACTGTTCCTCTATGATTGACTGTATGAGACTGTTCCTCTATGATTGATTGTATGATACTGTTTCTGTATGATACTCTGTTTGAGAATGTTTCTTTATGATTGATTGTATGATACTGTTTCTCTATGATGAATTGTATGATACTGTTTCTCTATGATTGATTGTTTGATACTGCTCCTCTATGATTGATTGTATGATAGTGTTTCTCTATGATTTACTGTCTGAGACTCCTTCCTCTATGATTGATTGTATGATAGCGTTTCCCTATGATTCACTGGTTGAGAATCCTTTCTTTATGATAGATTGTATGATAATGTTTCTCTATGTTTCAGTGTTTGAGAATGTTTCACTGTGAGTGACTTATTTGAGATTGTTTCTCTATGATTCACTGTTTGAGACTCCTTCCTCTATGATTGATTGTATGATAATGTTTCTTTATGATTCACTGTTTGAGAATGTTTCTCTATGATTGATTGTATGTGACTGCTTGTCTATGATGGATTGTATGATACTGTTCCTGTATAATTGATTGTATGATAGTGTTTCTCTAGGATTCATTGTTTGAGACTGTTCCTCTATGATTGATTGTATGATACTGTTTCTGTATGATACTTTGTTTGACAATGTTTCTTTATGATTGACGGTTTGGGACTGTTCCTCTATGATTGACTGTATGAGACTGTTCCTCTATGATTGATTGTATGATACTGTTTCTGTATGATACTCTGTTTGAGAATGTTTCTTTATGATTGATTGTATGATACTGTTTCTCTATGATGAATTGTATGATACTGTTTCTCTATGATTGATTGTTTGATACTGCTCCTCTATGATTGATTGTATGATACTGTTTCCCTATGATACATAGTTTGAAAATGATTCTCTACGATTGACTGTATGATACTGTTCCTCTATAATCGATTGTATGATAATATTCCTCTACAATTAACTATTTGAGAACATTTTAACATCATTCACACTTAAATATTAGCTATTAACTACCCACGTACTTTTAATATTGAATCTCAAGTCAATTTCCAGAACATCCAAAGACAACTATCACCAAAATCATCTCATAATTTTTCTACCCAACCCAACCCAACCCAACCCAACCCACCTCAGTCCTAGTAATTCCCACTAATTTCATCAACATACAAAGCAAAGGATAAAGTCCCCCAACCATTGAGAGGACCGAAAACGCAGCAGTTTGATCCCTGTGAAAGAGTGTTCGATATACCGCGGGTCAGGGGGGGGGGGGGTATAAATCGAGTCTCGTTCTGTATAATAACGTGCACACGTTGCATGGTACGTCACCGACGTGCACACTCGGTGGGGGGGGACGAATAAAGCTGGGCGGTGGAGCAAAGGGGGGGCGCGCGAGTGGGTGGAAAAACGAAGGGGGTGGAGGGGGGGTTGTGCCTTTGTGCTCGCCACCTCTGTGGAGTACGCCAAGCGAACGGATAATAATGGATAATAATGCCTAAATGGACGATCATCGGTTCGAATTCCATGAATCGATGATTCGATTGTTTCTGTTATTGCGCGCCCGGCCATCCGCGTCCAGGTCGCGAAGTGGGCCGCTCGTGCGGCACAAATTCAAATTCCAATCGTGGATCAAACGTGTTTTTGCGAAAACTGTGATACGCAGAGGCGCGCGTAAATATTGTTTGGGGAAAGGATTTCGTCCCGGTAATTCTACGCTCTGTTGTCGGATCAATTGGAGGACAAACACGGGCCACGGCTTGTTTCGCGCTTACATTGTCCCTTAAACGGTACCAAAGATACTTTTTCTGACGCAACAATGGTCGAAAATCGAGCGATATTGGCAAATACGAATTCTTTGAAAATTTGGGAATTTTTTAAATTTGAGAATTCTTTGAAAATTCGAGAATTTTTTAAATTTGAGAATTCTTTGGAAATTCGAGAATTTTTTAAATTTGTGAAAGCGTAGAAATTATAGGTTATACAGGGTGGTTTGTGCAATATTCTGCACCGTTATTTATTTAATTAATTTTCTAAGTCAATTTATAAAGTGTTCTGAAAAAAATTTTGTATTAAAAAAAGCTATGCAATGCATACCTATAAATTAGATGGTTAAACATTGTAAATTGCGTGGAGATTGTCGACACTTACTTGATTCTTGCCTTTGAGGACGAGGACATTAGTGACACGTCCGAAGGGTGCACCAAGATGGATGATCTCACAGTCTGACACCTCGTTCGGTATGTTTCTGATATGAATGACTCTCGACGGTTTGCCATTGTGGCTCTTGTCGAGTTTAACCTGCAACAGAAAAGAAATTTCGCCGTTAAAATTATATTTCATTCCACGGTACAGTTATTATACTCGGTAAAAATTTGGTTTTATACCGGGGAAAAATTTTAATGGGGGATTCTGGGGACCAAAATAAGACGAAAATCAAGAATAGTAATTTTTTAATCGAGGCTTCGTTAAAAAGTTATGAACATTTAAAGTAGAAGTGTGCAGCGCGCACGGTTCCCGTTTCACAAGGGCAATTTTAATTGTTAATAACTTTTTAACGAAGCCTCAATCAACAAATTGGTATTCTTCATTTTCGTCTTATTTTGGCCTCTAGAATCCACTAGAAAAGTTGTAAATAATTTGGAATTTTTCAATGCTTTAATTCATCTTAAAAAGTAGCATTGTCGAGAATAAAATTTTAATTATTAATTCAATTTTTAATTCTCAAGAATTTTTATTATAATTTAGGGGTTGAAACAACCCTCTGCAAAGTTCCCATTTAATTTAAATTATTATTCCAAAATTTACAATTATTAAAAATAGGATAGTTTTTCCAAAAAAAAAAATTCCTCATTTGCTTCATGAGACATACTTTGAAAACTCTACAGACTGACAACGTAAATTTAAAAAAAAAAAATACAAATTCGCACAAAACCAGTCCATCAATTATTATTCAAAAATTTATAAATATTAAAAATAGGATAATTTACAAAAAAAAAAATTCTTGTTTGCTCAATGAGAGGTGCTTTGAAAATTCCATTAAAGAACTATACACTGACAACGACTTCCAATAAACCTCGTGGAACTTCCACCCCCTTTGGTTACCTCTGTGCGTGTAAAAGTAACGAAACTTTTCGCCAGTGTATACATTTAAATCGAAACCCTTGTTGCCGGGGGCGGAATTTTCAATCACGGCTCAATCTAGTCGACTCGACTTGTCAGCCTCCCTCTTGCCTCGAACGTCGACCTCAGCCACCCTCTTACAGCCCCCAAATTTTCCCTTTCATTTTTTCTTACCTTTAAATTTCATATTTCTTAAATTCAAACTTCAAAAAATAAAAATTCTAGCAATGAGAATGAATTTTATTGTTAAGGAAAATTATTCCCTAAAAATTAATTAAAAAAATCGTCTTTATGGTTGACATTTTTATTTTTATTTCTAGAATTTTAACAAAATTACTCTAATTACAAAATATTAATCACCAGGTATTCAATTTATTTATTGCTTGTAGGCAGATTGCAAATTTTATAAGAAAATAAAAAAAGAGAAAATTATAAAATTAAAACAAAATCGAGCCATTCAATTTTTATTTATTCCATGTGAGTAAATTGAAAATTTTATAAGAAAATAAAAAAAGAAAAAATTGTAAAATTAAAACAAAATCGAGCTATTTAATTTATTTATTCCTTGTAGAAATAAAAAAAAAAGATAATTTGCCTCTAAGAAAAAATTAAAAATTAAAATTAAAAATTAAATGTGAAACAACGTGCTTAATAAATGGAACAAGTGCAATAGGCAGTTCCTGTGTGTTTATAATTTTCGTAACGTCGAGTGAAAGGTACTTTCGAGTATCAAGTATTATACCATTGTGCTTTGAAGAAATAATGAGGCACAGAGGAGAGACTGTTTCGTTAAAATCTTTCTTGGAGATCGTCGGTGAAATCGTATAATAGCGTATTACCGTATATTAATCGATAATCGGAGTGCAGGTGTATAATGCATAATGAAGACATCGTACATAATTTAATTGCACAGTGGAAAATTTCGTCGTCTCTTTAATCGATGCACGATATAATATATATTATCGTATCGAGTATTTAATTTGCCCCATTATGTTTCATTACTCGATCATATTCGATATTTAAATAGTAGACAAAAGAGGGGGATGAAATCGGCGAATTAAACGCTCTCGAGGATCCTTTAATATCTGCTATATCGATTCGAACTTTAACTTCGCGAGACGACGTTTGATAAATCGCTGGAAATATATTTGTAAGGGATGATACAGGGTGGACTTTTATTGTGGATGTCGACTTCCGTGTCACCTCCGCGCTCCGTTGAAAAATATTCAACGCCATATTGAATGGCCAGAGTACGATTAATCTTTCCACGAAACGTGTAACGTCAATTTTTATAAAATTTTTAACATAATAGTGGATGATTCTTAGTTCCCCGTTGCCAGAAATCCAATGTGAAGCATCAATAATCCTGTATTCAGTATGCCTGACCATGCTTGACCATGCTTGACTTTGCTTGACCATGCTTGACTTTGCCTGACCTTGTTTTTTTTGCCCCAAAAAATTTTAAAATGTCACCAACATATGTGTGAATAATCCCTGAAAATTTTACTGCAAAAGGTGTTATAGTTTCTTCACAAAAAATTCTCAAAGTTCAAAAAAATTCACATCAAACTAGCCTTTCAATTTAAAGAATAAAATTAGAAAATTTTCGTGTTTAGAACAATTAAAAAATGATACGTATGTTGTGCTCGAATTTTCCAGTAACTTTGCACATGTATTTTTGTCAAAGGTTACAAATAAAACGTTCTGTACGAAAGGTAAATACGTGAATATATTTCTGGTTGAGGCGACGTTGCATAATCGTCTCTGGTACGACATGTGAAAGGTTGCAGAGCTTGAATGTGTCGTTATTGCAATGTTGCTGGGACGAAATTTTGTTTACCAGGTCGTATTTAGAGAGGAAAAGTCGAATTTAACGAATATATTATTCGTATATTCGTTGCTCGTACTTTATGAAATGAAATTTAGATCCAACGATACCCCCTCGACGATTTAACTGGCTATGACGAATTAATGAAACTCTGTACACGACAGATTTAAAACTGATACGTCATTTATTTGTTTAATTTGTGGCTCGTAATAAAAAAGAATATTTTAGGAATGCATATTATTTATAAATTAGTTTTTCTAGCAAAGGGAATTTTTTCTGATTTTTTTCCATGATAGCAACTCTTGTTGGTGTGTAAATATATATAGCAATTGTTTCTGATTTTTCCCTCATGATTGCTATATAAATATATATATAGCAATTGTTTCTGATTTTTCTCATGATAGCAAGTCTTATTGCTATATGAATATATATAGCAATTTTTCCTGATTTTTCCTTATAATAGCAACACTTATTGCTCTATAAATATATATAGCAATTTTCTCTGATTTTTTCTCATGATAGTAACCCTTATTGCATTATAAATATATATAGCAATTTTCTCTGATTTTTCCTCATGATAGCAACACTTGTTGCTGTGTAAATATATATAGCAATTGTTTCTAAATCCCCCCCCCCCCCATGATTGCTATATAAATATATATAGTAATTGTTTCTGATTTTCCCCCAATATTGCTGTATAAATATATACAGCAATTGTTTCTGATTTTCCCCCCATGATAGCAACCCTTATTGCTCTATAAATATATATAGCAATTCTTTCTGATTTTCCCCTCATGATTGCTATATAAATATATATAGCAATGTTTCTGATTTTCCCTGATGATAGCAACCCTTATTGCTCTATAAATATATACAGCAATTGTTTCTGATTTTCCTCCCATGATAGCAACCCTTATTGCTCTATAAAAATATGTAGCAATTTTTCCTGATTTTCCCCCATGATAGCAACCCTTATATATAGCAATTGTTTCTGATTTTACCAACATGATAGCAACCCTTATTGCTATATAAATGTATATAGCAATTGTTTCTGATTTTCCCACCTAAATGATTGCAGCTACTGAATAACGTAACCATTTCTGCACCTTTTTTAATCCTGTCTGTTACGTGTCGTTTAATTTTGACCAGCATTGTTGTTAGGATGTTTCTCGACACGTTGATTTAATTGCTGACCGGTTCGAACGGAAACGAAAAGGGAGACGAAGTGTAGCGAGGAAAATGGCGATGTTAGGAACACGTTGTCCAAGCGCGAAGAGGTCCTCGAGGTTCGTTGACGGGAGTGGTTGAACGGTGCTCGAAGTCAATCTTGTTTGCTCCACGAGGGCGCGATTCTCGTGGCCTGCATCGGGCCACCTAACTCGCCCTTGCAAGGAAGGGAAACGTCGAGCAATTAAGCCTCTTCTTCTGCGATCGACAGCCACTCGTGGCGAGCCTCGTCTCGCCCTTGACGTTTCCCTAGCATCTCATTTCGTGGCCTCGCGAGTTCTTCCTCTGGACCTGGTGATCGTTAGATTAGACACGAGGGCTGTTCGAGTCCCTGGGAACCCTTAGAAGTCTTAATAAATCACGAATAACTTGATGTCTGACCAAACGTACACCTATTCCCCTTAAATTTAAACAAAAAAAATTCCAATCGTTCTAAAAAAAATATGTTTACTTCCAGGGGTCAATTACAATCATCTTTGGTCAATAGACATATCACCGAATTCCTACCCAGTTTTGAGAAAAAAATTCCTTACCGAAAACATGCCTGACTATATACACACCTATTCCCCTTCAATTTCTCAAGAAAAAAACACTTCAAATCGTTATAAAAAAAATAGTCTCAGCTGCCAGGGTCAATTACAATCATTTTTAGTCAATAGACATACCCTCGAAATCCTAACCATTTTCTAGAAAAAAATTCGAGTAGCTAGACAAATTTATCAACTAAATTAAAAAATTTCAAATCATTCTAAAAAAAATATGCTTACTTCCAGGGGTCAATTACAATCATCTTTGGTCAATAGATACACCCCCAAAATCCTACCCAGTTTCGAGAAAAAAATTCCTAACCAAAACCATGTCTGACCATACCCACATCTATTCCCCTTAAATTTTTCGCAAAAAAAATTCCAATCGTTCAAAAAAAAATAGTCTCAGCTACAAGGGTCAATTGCAATCATTTTCGGTGAAAAGACATACCCTTAAAATCCTAACCATTTTCTAGAAAAAAATTCCAAACCAAAAATCTGACGATCATATGATATTAATTGCGATCAATTATAATTAAAAAATGAATTTAAATTATTAAAAAATGGATGACTGTAACGATTCCCCTTTCCTCCTA